TATAGTTACATAGATAGGTATATGTATATGTATACGTGTATGCTATATTTTTTTGTTTTTTTTTTTTTTTTTTTTTTTTTTTTTTTTTATAGAGGTGCGAAAAAAAATCTTCATAAGACACCGCCATCGTGGATACTCCGCTGTCCATCCTACAGCAGACAACGACGGACGGCAGTGTGGAGATTTTTACCCACTAAAAAAACACTCCTCTCCCCTCTCCCTCTCCCGCGATGGTACGGAGAGGACTGGATTGGAACCCCGCGTAGCATTACATCAATCCAGTCCGTGCTGCGCCTTGCGACGCCTGCTTTCGACTACTGGTCTCTTTCTCCGGTTTTAGCCTTCAAAGATGCTGTGCATAAGCTGCTACAGCTGACCAGTTTTCTTCTGTTTCATCATGTAGGCCACAAGACTTGAGGGGGTGAGCCTGGTGCCTATAATGTGCTCGGCGTTGTTGCGATAGTCCTTCCACCGAGCACATTCAAAGAACGTGTGCTCAGCGTCGTCGATTTTTATCTGGACAGTATTTACACATTGGCGTGCTATGCAAGCCCATCTTAAAAAGATAGGCATTAAACTGTCCATGTCCTGTCAGTAGCTGGGTTAGAAAAAATTTGTGTCGCCGTACTTTCGAGAGAGCCAGACGTTAATGTCCGGAATCAGACGCGCGCCGTCCATCTGCCCGTCTCTCCTGACGTCCACCGATTTTGCCACTCTTGTAGCGTTTCATTTTTAATTCGCGACCTTGTTTCTCTGGAATTGTCGCCACCTAATTTAGCGTCGTAGAGTTTCACTCTCTCGAATGCTAGCAAGTCAATTGGTATGGCTCCTGCTATTACCAATACAGCTGCTTCAGAGACCGTGCGATAGGCACAGGTAACTCTTAGAGCTCCTCGTCTTTGCACTGAAGCTATTTTGCGCCGATATGTTTTTTTGCTTGAGGATATCCGCCCATATCTCTGCTCCGTATAGCAGTACAGAATGGACTACCTCAAGCAGGACTCGTCGTTTTCGGGTTCGTGGTCCCATGCAGTTAGCCATAATCCTTGACAAGTTGGATACCGTCTTGCTAGCTTTTATGCATGCATTATCGAGATGTTCACGGAAGGATAGCTTCTCATCTATCATTACTCCCAGGTAGCGCAAGGCCCTTGTCGACGTCAAAGTTGTCTCTCCTATGTCTACGGTGAATGGTTTTGGAAACCATTTTTGTCGGGTCAAGACAACCATCTCCGTTTTCTGTTTGGCGAGTTTTAGGTGGTGTTTCTCAAGCCAGTCTCTATGGTGTCGACGGTCTCTCGAACGAGTAGTTCAGCCTCCTCAATGCTGTCCACTACGATTGTGGCTGCGACGTCGTCCGCAAAGCCCGTGAGTTCCACCTGCTTCGGCAAGGGAATCTCCAGGAGCTCGTCGTAGACAGCGTTCCACAAATCGGCTCCTAAGATTGAGCCTTGAGGTACCCCAGCTGTAACCTCGTGTTCTTGATGACCTTCCGTCGTTTCCACTATCAACTTTCTCCCATCGAGGTAGTCGTCTATTAGTCCTAGATTTTCTGGCTTTACGTCAACTCAAATTATGCTCTAGGCGTGTAAAATATCCTCCCAATTCGCACTATTAAGGCGTTTTTAACGTCGAATGTGAGAAGGAACACACAGACACACTTTACGAGTTTTAAGACTACCACGCCATGCTTCTCTTGCTGTTTCCGTTACCTTTCGAATCGCGCCGATAGTCGATCGTCCTTTTTGAAATCCGTGTTGGTTCTTGGCAAAACCTCCGGCGCATTCAATGTCGTTGCGTATCTGCATTGAATAAGTTTTTCAAGCAGTTTGCCGGCGATGTCTAACATGCAGAGTGGTCGAAACGACGATGGTGTTACAGGGGTTCCCTTACCTTTGTCTATTAGGACCAATCTTTGCCGCTTCCAGACCGTAGGAAGGTGCCGGTCGCCAGGCAGGCATTGTAGGCGTTCAGAAGAAATACGGAAATTCCAAGGCTACAGTCTTGATCACTGAGGCTGGGATGCCATCAGGGCCTGGTGCTTTGCCAGCTTTTATGGTTCTCGCCGCATCTTGGAGTTCCTTGACAGTGAAGGGTGTGGTTTCACTGCTTTCCACGTATTTGTCTCTTTTCCTTGGCGGATGTTTAGGGAATAGTTCCGCTACGATAGAATTCATCAAAGCAGGAGATTTCGGTGCTTCTGGTAAAGCTCTACCAAGTCGTTTTGTAACGATTTGATAGGCTTTTCCCCAGAGATCTTTGTCAAGGTCATTGCAAATTTCCTTCCACAATCCGGCTTTAGCTGATTTTATGGCTTTATTTAGGTTCTCTTTTGCCTGTTTGTACTCGTTTGTATACAAATCTTGGTAGGGGGAGCGTTTTGCAGCTCTTGTGGCCCGGCGACGTAATGCGTGGCATCTTTTCCGTAGTTCTGCTATCTCTGATGACCACCAATATGCTGGACTGTGCACACCCTGGTTTTTTGGTCGTGGCATAGAGGCGTTACATGAGGTGACAATAGCGTTCATAGTTTTAAGGACCGTTTCTTCCGTTTCTCTGCGGGTACTTAGTTTTGGATCAGCTTGAAGAATAGATGCGTTTTGCTCGAGGGCTGCTCGCAACGCTTCCTGGTCAAGCTTCTTGGCATTCCACCTTCGCTTGCAAAAGTTGCTTGGTCTAGTCGGACCGGATCCAATACTAAATGTCACATGTTGATGATCACTGCCACTATACTCTTCAGATACAGTCCAGTCTCCAATCATGTTCGCTGTCCTTGGAGTGGCAAACGTAATGTCGAGAATAGATTCCTGATATCCTGGTCTTCTAAAAGTTGTAATACTCCCAGTATTTAACACAGTAAGGTCTAATCTTGCAGCAAAGTCTGCTACGTCATTTCCTCTAGTGTCCGAGTATTCGGCGCCCCATTCAGCCGATTTCGCGTTGAAATCACCAGCTATAATGACTTCTCCGTCAAATTTGCTGAGAGTATCTTCTATGTTTGCCATTTTCTGGCGAAATACGCTAATCCCTTCATTTGGTGAAAGGTAGACGCTCACACAGTAGGTCGTAGGAGTCTTGATCCAGACAAAACCCTCTCCGTTTCCGTTGTCATTGACGAAGATCTTCTTCGAGTTTGTGATCCATATTGCTGCCGTGCCAGTTTTATCTGCGAACCATGATTTATCTTGAATATTCATATATTGCTCGCAGATAAGGCATATATCGATCTTATCTTCAAAGATACGTTGGCGCAGTAGATTCTGCGCCAAGGCACATCTATTCAGATTACCTTGTAGAAATCGCGTCATTTCTGTTCTCTCGTGGCTTTGGCAAGTGCTACACGGAATGCTTTACAGGTACCGGATCCAGCGACATGGTTCCCGCTATTCCGATCTTCTTTGTCTACTGTACATAGAAAGCATTTTGGCTTTTCCGTGCAGTCTACAGACTTGTGATTTTCTCCGCCGCATTTGTAGCAACACTTGCTTCTGTCTGGTCCCCCGCATTTATGCGTTTGGTGTACGAAACCGAGACATCTAAAGCAGCGGGCCACTTTAACAACTGGGCGAATGCGACAGTTAACCCACCCAATTCTTATGCGGGCCCTATTTAGGGCTTTGATTGCATTAGCCTCATCTATCTCACAAAAGGCCGCTCGTTGTCCTCTTGATGTTACTTTGGTCAAGTTCACTCGTCGTATTTCCAGTTTTGTCGTAAATTCCCGAATGAGTGCTTTGCGAACGTCGTTTTCGGTAGAGACACCATCAAGGTCAAGAATCTCTATCGTCGTTAGCGGCGTCAGTGATTTCACTGTTCCTATGTTTTCAGTTGCTGCCCTTACCGCAGCTGCAAAGGCTGCACTATCTTCGGACTTGGGGCTCATTTCCAGTAATACACCTCCATTTCTTGTCTGTTTGATGGACTTTATGTCCACGCCAGTCTCTGTCGGGTTTACTTTTTCCTTGATCTCCTTAAGGATGTCAGCGTACGTTCGTCCTTCGGCTGGTTGAACCAGAACAGCCTTGGTTCTATGTTTCCTCCGAGTTGTCCTATGATGGTTATTTCTATGCTTAGCACTATCATTTGTTTCGATTTTTTCGGTTTCCGGTTTCTCGGTTTCCTCCAAGGTTACTTTCGCATCCCGCGCTCCTTTCTTCTTCGAACTTCGTCGAGCCACTTTCGTCCAGTTATTTTCTACTGCCGATTTTTAGGCGGATGTGTTTCCGCGTCAGAGGTGGGGCTAAGTGAAGATAACAACCTTTTGTTTGTATTTTGCTCTTGGGTCTTAGGAGTTGGCGTCTGAGTTACACCCGGTTCAATGGTTTTCTCGGGAGAGGTCTGTGTAGTTTGCACTGTCATTGAGACAGCTTTGGGGGTTGCCGTATATTCTTTCAATGCCAGGCTATATGCTGTGTCAATCGACCTAATTAGCTCCTTTATTCTGCTGTGGACATTGTTCCTATCTTTGACGTACTCCGCTAGCTCCTCAATTTTGGAGCCAAGTCTCTCCATCGGCGTTTGTCGACATCTAGTCGATGGTGCGGAGTTTACTCTGTCCCGGTGAAGATTGCCGGGAGCTTTCTTGTTTCCTTTTACTATTGCGGCTTTCGCCGCATCGTGATCGACGTCCATTTTTGGGTTTTCTGGGTTTTCTGGGTTTTCATAATTATTCATGTTGTTTAAATAGTCCTCCAGAACAAGAGGTCGTCTCCGAACGCGGTGCCTTGGGAAGTGGAGGGGTGATTACCCTTACAGCTACCTCCATTGCTGTAAGAGCTTGTGACCATTGGAGCGGGAAAAAAAAACATCCGCTCCGGCCGTGCACCTTCTTCCTTCATTGGCATCCTCTTGCTCCGGTGGGTGCGGCACGTTGATGCCGGGAGTTTCCACGCACGGTGCGCTATATGGATCATCCACACATCTCTTTCGAGCAGTGTCCCCTAATCCGCTTCCGTACGTGGCCCTAGGTCAGATGGTGTGACCAACCAAAAGGGAGTTTTTTCTTTTTTCCGTGATACACGGACGGTGGCTGTTACTCCTCAGCTCCGATGCCATATTTGGTCCGCGAGGGCTATTTTATTTCGCCCCAATCCGCCGATCTTACGATCGGTTAGGAAACCCCCTATCCGCCACCTGGGGACGCGCCCGGTAGGAGTTTGGCTTCTCCCGACGGGGTATAGCTATAGTTACATAGATAGGTATGAGTATATGTATGTTTCATACATGTACATGTACGTCGTTGTGAATATGCATGCACGTTGCATATATGTATATGCGTATATTTATATATGTATAGTCGCAAATGTATATGTGTACATATATAGGTATATATTTTTGTATTTGTATATGTATATGTGTATATATATGTTTGCATGTGTGTGTGTATGTATATATATATATATATATATATATATATATATATATATATATATATATTGTAACATTAAAGTAGACTTAACCCTCAGCTCTTTTTTTTCCAACCTCAAATCACCCACTAGTTTAGAACGCACATCAAATATTGTCTACAAATTAAAATGCAATGACTTTGATTCCATTTACATAGGTGAAACTGGACAGAATTTGATAAAACGACTAAAACAACATGATAATAACTCAAAAAACCCACGACAAAATCAAACCAAGTTAACAAAACATATAAAAAATTTTAAACATTCTTTTAACTTTTATAACGCTAGTATACTTTATCACGAACGGAACATTATTCAGAGAAGGTTCGCTGAATCTTGTCTAATCAGCATTACTAAATTTTGCATTAATAAAAGGTGTGATGCCTCTTTACTGTGTGAAAATTATCATGTGATACTCAATGATATTTCCAAATTTGTTTTCTCTTAACTAGCTTAATTCCGAACCTGTAAACCTATCCTTACGCGGTACGATCCCGAACTTTGAATGTTAGCCTCTTCACCCATACTTCAAAACACTGATTGTAAAAAAACTCCCCAACCAATCCTTCGGTCTCTCCAAATAATTTTTAAGCACATGTCATAACTGCCTCGGGAATGTACGCATAAACAACATTTTCCTTGCAAAATATATTATATTTCACAAATATTTTGCTATGCTCTGTTCAACAAAAAAAAAAACAAGTTAGAGTATATATGATAGTGCAAAATTATGTGCCATACGCTAGTTACTGATTTAAGACCTTTTTTATGTGAGTTACCTTTGTTGTTTATATATGTGTATGTGTTTGTATATGTATATATATATATATATATATATATATATATATACATATATACATATATATATATATATATATACTAGCATACCCAGCCTTGCGTTGCAACGGCCCTTATCCGCTTGACAACCAAATTTCAAACCTTTTGTTATAAAAAATTCATATCAATCCAAAAATAAATAAAATACGGATTGAAATTTGAATATGATGGATCAATACTATATATTATATTTTTTTTGAACTTAAATAATAAATAAATTGAAATAATTAAACATTTGAATAAATGAGTACATTACAAAATGTATAATGAATAACCAAGTGATTTTTATAAATTTGTTATATATTATTTGGTATTACGTCTTATTTACCTTTAGCTAACATTTTAACATGTTCTACGATGCTTTATTTAGGAATGGTTTCACATACTTTTGGAAACTTGCTATAAATCTTCAAAATTTTCTTTGAAAAATTTCCATAAATTTATGATTAGACACTCATCGATTTCAATGCATTTTTTTTTTAATTTGTGATTACTTACAAAACACTTATAATATAAATTTCCAACTATAAATTCATATTCATACTATCCCTGAAACTAACATGGATAAAGTTCTGAAGAATTCGAGTCTATTCCTATGTTTGATTTTTGGCACTTCGAAATTTAATATAATATGATATAATATTCAGTTTTCAATCATGATTTATATTAATTTTGTGATGTTTGTGATGTCAAATATTTTTTTTTCGAAAATCATAAATCTTTTTTTCTCGAATTTTCCGTAAATTTTGACATTTGTCAATTTAGTGTTTTGTTTTTTTTTGGTCATTTTCTGTCGAAATTTTTTGAAATTTATAAAAATTATGTATTAATATTTTAAATTTACTTTTCAAAATTTCCCATAACTCAAGTTGGATATATATGCACGCGATGAGACAATAAAATTTAAAATCGGTCGAGTAGTTTGGGCGTCCATCGCGAACCAACATCGTGACACGAGATTTATATATATATATATATATATATATATATATATATATATATATATATATATATATATATATATATATCTTCTATATATATATATATATAAAAATAAGTCGGATTTTCCTTCCTGACGAAATAACTTCAGAACGCACGAACCGATTTCGACAATGTAGCATTCGTTGGAAAGGTCTCGCAATCTTTGCTTTTTATTTGATGTATTGCCCTTGAAGAACTTCAAACAAATTTCTCAACGTCAAACTTAACTTCTTTAACATATATATATATATATATATATATATATATATATATATATATATGAGAAAGTTCAGCAAGGGCAATACATCAAATAAAAAGCAAATTTAGAAGTTAATCTTTAATTTTTTCCAAACGTTTCGACGTAGTATTTTATGTCATCATCAGTGGATCTACAGAATGCACATTGAAAAATTAACATAAACTAGGAAAAAATGACTGAAATTAGAAAAAGAACTACAGGTACAAGTATTATAATTATAACAATAACAATTAAAACTAAACAGATAGACAAACATAAGAAATGAAAAGTAAAAAGAAATATATACAAACACAAAAGCGTAATATATATATACGAGGTCTGTTCAAAAAGTACCCGGAATTTTCGTTTTTTCAAAAAAATATTTATTTATTCGTCTACATTAATGTGGTCCCCTTCAAAGTAGTCCCCCCCAGATATAATACACTTATGCCAGCGTTTTTTCCAATTTTCGAAGCACCCTTGATATTCACTTTTTGATATGTCCTTGAGCACTCTCAGCGATTTTCTTCAATCGAGGAAAACCGCCGTCCTTTCATGGGTCTCTTCAACTTTGGGAATAGGAAAAAGTCACACGGAGCCATATCTGGTGAATTTTTGCACTTTGCAACACTTTATTTCATTTTTTACGCAAAATTTAATACAAATTCTTTGACTTTTCAATTCTTCCATTGTAAAAATCGCCGAGCTCAGAAAAACACGTCGAACCTTAGCGACTACCACAGACAAAGTAAACAGTGAATATAGCTGAAAATTTCATCATACTTTAGGGGCATGTATACCAACACAATAAAAAAAAATTTTGACAATCAGACACTCCAGACCC